TCCGCTCCCCCGCGGCCCTGCAGCCCCTCCGGGGTCTCCGCTCCCCTCCCGTTTCCCCCCGTGATTGTGCAGCTGCTCCCCAGCTGCTCCCGCCGTCCTCCCTGCAGAACCTTTGAGGGGGTGTCAATTTTGGGGGGTGGGTGGGAATCAGCTCCCTCTTCCCTTTTCCCGTCCGCTTTGTCCCCTTCCTGCCTTCTCCTTCGTTAGGGCCATTTATTTATTTGTCTCCAATGCCGAAAACCCCCGGGTCACTTGGAAATGCACTTGGAAATGCATTTGGTGCCTTAGAAAACAGGAAAGAAAAAAAAAATCTATGCGTTTAGGGGACAAATTTGTGCATCAGGATTTTTCTTTCTTTCTTTTTCTTTTTTTTTTTCACTTTTTGGATTTTTTTCTGGGGGGGGTGTTGTTTGGCTTTGGTCTTTGATCTGGAATCAGCTCTATTATTTTTGTTAAAGCCTCTCGCCGTCCGGCTGAGCCGTTCGGGAGACAAAGTGAAGAGGAAATAGCAAAGCTGCCGGGACACGGAGCGGGGTCGGTACCGGCAGGGAAAAGGGAGAAATCACCCCTTGACTCACCCGGAGATACCGTTTTCCCATTAATTCAAAGCAGCTGCCCCTTGGTTGTGCAGAGTAACCCCAAATTGCCTTAATTAGGAAACAACCAAAAATGAAAGGGGGAAGTCTGGAAAAAAACAGGCCGCTTTGGAAGCTGGCGGCCGCCGCGGGGTGCAGAGCCCCGAGCGGGTGTGCGGGACAGCAGGGTCCCCTGGCCACACGGTGACAGGCTGGGAAGGGGGAATTGTGCCCAAGGAGGCGATTTCCTCCCTTTGCCAGAGCGGGATCGTCTCCGGATCCGAGGGGTTTCTCGCCTTCCTTCAGGCAGCACGAAGGGCTGCAGAGGCGGCTCCCAGGCGGAGCTGGGCTGCCCGCTGGCAGCACCCGCGGGTGCCCCCGGGCCCCCGGCGCTGGCCAAGGCCAAGGCCAAAAAGCGGAGGAACAGGACAACCTTCAGCACCTTCCAGCTCGAGGAGCTGGAGAAGGTTTTCCAGAAGACCCATTACCCGGACGTCTACGCGCGGGAGCAGCTGGCCCTGCGCACCGAGCTCACCGAAGCCAGGGTGCAGGTAGGCGCCGGGAATAGCTGGGATGGGGGATTGGATGGAATTCCCGGCAAATTGGATGTTGCTCGTGGTGGGGATCCCAGGGAGATGCTGCTGGTCCCGTTATCCCCGGAGGGCACGTGGGGCCGCTGGAGCGAGTGGAGCCTGGGGAGTCCCACGCTGTGTCAGGTTATGTTTCCCCCCCCAAAAAAGAGGGATTTTGCTCCTTTGCTGCTGCAAAAAGCCGGCCGGTCCTCGCATGCAGGGAAGCCCCACGTTGGATGGGATGCGGAGCAGTGCATCCCGCGCCGCAGCGGGCAGGGATTGGCAGCAGGACCGGCACCGCGTCCCAGCTCACGGCAGTCCCGTCCCATCCC